TTTTTTAACATTTAAATTTGTTTTAATTAAGATCGAATTTAATTAAGTTTATACATGTAATACGTAATATATGATACACATTGATATATATATACATTGAACATTAGATTTCGTAAGCAATGTTATCATAAATTACTTCTTAAAATATTACTGATAGAAATTTTTCAGTACGTTAGAAAACCACTTAAGCGACACTTCTTAGCAAAAAACAAATGTCTACATTAACAGGTAAAAATATTTTAATTGAAATTAATTTTTAAACAAATTTTTAAACAAAATATTTATAAAAGATAATCAATTATTCAATCAAATATATATTGATCATATAATATTTTTTAAATAAATTTTTGAAAAGCATAAGCGTCAGTCATATGACTTTCCACGAGTTTTTTTTTATTTTCTGTACAGTAGATTTTATAATATTAATTATAATTTTTACAGTTATATTTATTATGTTATGTTTATTATACGATCAAAATGAAAACTGAAAGTTCGTGTGACCAATTATATATTATTTACGATTATGATTTAAAATGAAATTATATATAATATAATTCAAATTTATATCACGATTTATAATATTTCAAAATTGTAAGTAATGTATATATATATATATTATTAAAGCAAATATTTTTATATAATATTTTGATTATTTGAAAATTTATTTTTAATAATATTTTAATAAAATAAACTTTAATATAATTTTATTAAATAAATTATTTTATAATTTAATGCATTAATATAATATAAATATAATTTTTCTTGAATTTTTTATATTTATATTAATTTTCAGATGACAAAGCCAGCCTAAGAAATGGCGAAGAATTAAAAGAAAACTTTGATCCTACTGGTTAGAATTTTCGTTCTTATGAAGAAATTACTTCAAATTTAGTTCTATGTTTCATCTATTAGATCAATATTTTATAGAACATCAACATATTCGATACAATCCCTTAAAGGGAGAATGGGTATTAGTATCACCACATCGAATGAAACGACCATGGGGAGGACAAATTGAATCAAATGTAGAAGAAGATCTTCCAGATTATGACCCTAATAATCCACTTTGTCCAGGCAATATTAGAGCTAGTGGACAGGTGATATTCTTGATAATTCTTATGTGTTCTTATATTTTATTAAATGGAAAAATAATTAAAGATATAAAATTATATATATTTTTTATTTTAATTTATTTTAATTTTAATATTAAATTTATTATGTTTTCTAGATAACTCCAATATATGAAAATACATATTCATTTATTAATGACTTTCCTGCATTATTGGAATCAGTTCCTAGCCCATCAAAATCAGAAGATGAATTATTTCAAATGGATGCTGCTAGAGGTATTTGTAAAGTAATGTGTTTTCATCCAAAATCAAATGTAACAATAGCACTTATGAAAATTTCTGAAATTAAAGAAGTGATTAAAAGGTATGTTGAATATATTTATTCTATAATATTAGAATAATTGCATTTACAATAAATATCTAATAAATATTTAATTCAGATGGATTTTTGAAATGCTTGAGTTAGGAGAAAAATGGACTTGGGTACAAATATTTGAAAATCGAGGTGCTTTAATGGGATGTAGCAATGCTCATCCTCATTGTCAAATTTGGGCTAGTTCTTTCTTACCAAATGAAGCTAAAATAAAGGACAGATTTCTCAATGATTATTATAATCGCAATAAGAAACCACTTCTTATAGATTATGTGCAAAAAGAGCTTTTTAAAAAGGTAAAAAATAATATTAATAAAATTTTAAATTTGAATCTTTAAAATATTTTAATTCAAATTTCATAAAAATTTCATTACACACAATTTATATTATAGGAACGCATTGTATTAGATAATCGAGATTGGGTAGTTTTAGTACCATTTTGGGCAATATGGCCTTATGAAACTATGGTATTACCCAAAAAACAAATATCTAGAATGCAAGATTTAACAGAAAGTCAACAAGAATCATTAGCTGTTATTATGAAAATTTTATGTACTAAATATGATAATTTATTCCATTGTTCATTTCCCTATTCTATGGGTTGGCATGGTATATTTAATTATTATATATATTTATTAAAAAAATTTTTGATTTTTAATTTTTATATTTCATTTAAAACTTTTTTAAAGGTGCACCAACTGGTCCATATGTAAAACAAGATTACCCTTACTGGACATTTCACGGAATTTATTTACCTCCTTTGTTGCGTTCAGCTACTGTAAAAAAACATATGGTTGGATATGAACTTCTTGCACAAGCCCAAAGAGATTTAACACCAGAACGAGCAGCAGAAAAATTAAGAACTTTATCAGATTCTCATTACAAATATCCAGAAACAAGTTTAACTAGTTGTGAAATAGAAAAATATTCTAAATAAATCAATTCACATTTTATATAATTTATATAATTATATAATTATATATTTTTATAAATATATATGTTATTCACATATATATTATTTATAAAAGTGTAATATTGAACATTACTTAATTATACATACATTAATTATATAAATAAAAATCAGTGGATATGAAAAATAAGTAATTACAATTTTACACTGTTAATATATAGGAAATGTACAATCA